GTTTTTTTGTTTTGTTTTGTTTTTTTAAGCAAAAGTATTTTAAGGAACATTTTTGAACTGGCCTTTGGAAGTCCAGGTTGTTAGAGATGTTATGTTTAGTTACATCCCTGACTGCATACCTAACCATTAAAATACAACACTCTTTAAAATCACAACACAAAAATTTTATTTGAGCCATTATTTTTACCTCTAAAATTTGCTGAGCTCGAAGTTCCTTCTCCATTCTGATTTGCTGGATTCGCTTAATTTTCTCCTACAAAGGGGAAAAAAGTTATTAATTTTATAAAAACAATATTGAGAAAGTAAATTTACTTTTACATCTTAAAAAAATGACCAAGTTTCTACATATATACTGAGTCTCACACCCACTGTAGTCAACTGTTCACATACAACAACGTACACTTAGAATTTTCACTAGCATTAGATGATGTCTGGTATATCCCTGAAGGAACAAACACTTCATGATGCATAGGTGCTAACGTTTAAGTTGTCATGGTATATGTATATGTCAGTTTGGTGGGTTTTTTTCAAACAGCTTTGAGAGGACCAGATTAATGACAACCTAAGTAAGCCAGCAGCATTCAAATTCTAGCTGGCAATGGTGGAGCTATTTAGCAATGAATAGAAATGGGAGCTACGACATGAAAAACATCACGTTTCCATTTCCACCAAACCACTACTCTCCGCCTTGGTTCCGGCAGCCTTTCAGTGGGCGATGGTACCACGTGGAGAGCCTGCGTGCTGCGACCCGGCCGGTACACCCACAGCTAACTGCGCTGCAGTTTCGCCAGGTTTTTAAAGCATTCCGGTAATTGATGATGAGTTTGGATGCCTTAATATGCAGTTCGGGGGACCGAGTTTTATATATGCTGAAGAGTAAAGTTACAAAACCGGTAACCGCAAGAGCGGCCACAGGCTGTACAGCACATTTCGGCATGTTTCATCACAGTAAGAAGGAAACGATCAAGCTAAGCACTCCGCAGATGGCTGCTGCGTAACTATATTCTGATTTATTCTTTTTCAGGAATTAGTTCCTAAAATATGAATAAAGTCTTATTACACTGATTTAGAAATGCAATCATTGCAACTTTAGGATTACTTCACGTTTCCCGTGCTGCACGGGTTTTGTCTGCTAAATAGTAATAACCCAAGCTTATATTAAACGTTTCTACCACACGTATTTGAGGTTTTATTATCTCAAGACAGCTGCTTGAGCCAAAGTGACTAGGAAGGGGCTACTACGAAAGCAGCATTGCAGTACCTTCAGCTGGACTTGCTGTAACGTTTTACCAGCAAGACCCAGGCCGTGTTTTCATTGGCTTTTTTTAACAACCCCAGGATGCCACTTACGGGCAAAATAATGAGACACCTGGTTTTCTAGCACTATTTCTAAGTAGTGGGATGATGAGAGCATACAAAGACCCTCAGGTGCTGGAGCATGTCCAGAGAAGGGCCACGGAGCTGGGGAGGGGTCTGGAGCACAAGTCTGATGGGGAGCGGCTGAGGGAACTGGGGGTCTTCAGGCTGGAGAAGAGGAGGCTGAGGGGAGCCCTCATCGCTCTCTGCAACTACCTGAAAGGGGGTTGTGGTGAGGTGGGGGTTGGTCTCTTCTCCCAAGTAACGAGATAGGACAAGTTGCACCCAGGGGAGGTTTAGCTATTAGGAAAATAATATTGGATATTAGGAAAAATTTCTTCACCAAAAGGGTTGTCCAGCACTGGAACAGGCTGCCCAGGGAAGTGGTGGAGTCAGCATCCCTGGAGGTATAGTATAGATGTAGTGCTTAGGGACATGGTTTAGTGGTGGACTTGGCAATGTTAGGTTAACACAGTTGGGACTCTATGATCTTCAAGGTCTGTTGCAACCTAAATGATTCTATGATTCCATTATTTCATCCTAATTAATTGCTCTCTGAGATTAAAAACCACAAAATAAATCAAATACAGGCATGTTTTGGTTTGCTAATTTCTAATCGGAATGTTAGATCTGAAGCTTCTATAGAGGTCTAAATGCTACTTAGCTGCAACATAAAATTACTAAACAGAGCCTAACACAACAGGTTGAAAAGGTGTAACTAGAGGTCAAAAAAAGTAACTAGACCATCTTTAGAAAAAACACAACTGAACTACAACATAAATAGAAACCAGTCATGAAACTACAGTGAAGACACTGCACCACTCAGGAAATACTTTCCCTGCAACGAAAGGCATGAGGTATTTCAAATCAGTAAGTTAATGGTACGTCCCGAGAAGCTGATGCAGTGCATGCAGTGGCAATCAAACCCGGTATCCTCTCTTCCCACGTCCAACTTCAAAATTCTATTTAGAGCTAAAAATCCTATTACATTACAAAGTAACATACCAGAAAGTGTAAATATTTATAGAATTTCATGGAAATTTCAGTGACAGTTTTTATCACAAATAAAAGATATTGGTTTTAATGGTAAATGTTCATCCTTTCCACCTCCCCATATCCCTTTAATTTAAGTTGCTATAAATACTATTATAACAGGAATATGAACACTGAACATAAACAGTTAATTCAAACAATATTTAGACATTCTTGTTTTAAAATAATTACATGTACTACCTGTACTATGCGTACACATACTAATTCAACAGTAGTACAGGTTGAATTGGCCTTCTGAAGTGAACTTTTCCTACCTCTACAAGGTTCTATATACTTAATTCTCTGTCGCCATAAGAGGGTAAAAAACTGAAGCAATAATGGTACTGAACACAAAAAATGTCTTTCCTCTGAAAGCTAAAAAACCTTGTCCTTTGACTGCTAACAGATGAAGTATTTAATTCTGAACTCTGCAGTAAGTTTCATACTGAACAGAAAGAATGTAAAAAACCAGCAACGCAAATATATTTTTAGATGCAAAAATTTTTTATTCCCTTTTAAAAGATTTTCAGATTCCCAACATACTTAACTTTTCACTAATTTGTTAAAATCAGTTGTTAAAAAAATTAAAAGCCTGCTTCCGTAAGTAGCTTCATTTGGTAAAGTTTATACGGGCTCACTTTTATTGGAAGTATTTGCTACGACAATATTTAACAAGACTTGTATGTTTAAAAACCCGCATGTTGAGAAACAAGCCTTCGCACACAACCTAAAACCACTGACAGCCAGCCAGAATCATTGAAGAAGCTAATTACACAATAGTATTTATACGAGCAGATATAAAACTGTTTGTTTTCACAGAACCAAATAAAGGAAGACTTCATCACTGTACTTTAGTAGCATGTTTTTTAATTTTTTAAGGAATTACATCCATTGGGTGGCTTAAATCAACACAGACAAAATTGGGATGTCCTGAAAACACCGACAATAACTACAGAATTTTAAATAAAGACACTTTGTGCTCTTTAAAACTAGATTTAAAACATTCACTTTGTAATCAGCATACTTAACAAGTTACTAAATAATTAAAATACTCCTTATTCAATAGTCCAAAACATAATTTAAAGAGCTTATTTATCAATCACATAAAGTTTACCTGCTGCTTCATTATCTTTATCTGCTCCTTCTGCTTTCGCTTTTCTTCGGCTGCCATAATAGCTAACAAACAAAAGCAAACCAAAAATTAATTTCAGCAGAACATCACAAGAGACAGGTAAGTTTTCATTAATTCAAAATGAATTATTCAAAATAATTCCTTCCTTCCCACAATAATCTGCTAGTGTGCACAAAGTTTCACAAGTAATGCTTACCTTGCTGTTTTTTTGCTTCTTTGGCAGCTCGAGCTTGTTCCTGCTTCTGGAGTTTTCGCAGTAGCTTTATTTGGGCTGCTTGCCTAGCTATTTCTGTTACAAAAGGAAAATATTAAGTTCATAAAAACAGCGCTGTCCAACAATAAAGATATAGCTCATATTGCAGACATTTGCATGAGGTAAAGATAAAGAAAACGCTTATGCACACAATTTATCTTGATATTTCACTATTACCTGTCTTTTAGTGGTATCTCGTGTACCAGTAACTACATCAACAGCGCAAATGAGCATGGATAGTTTCTACATAAAAGAAAGTACTATTTTTGGAAGAAAAAATACCTTTTAAGTGATCAGGTCAATAACGCTGCTTCATTTAAAAACTATCTCTTCCTTCTTTTTAAAGCAGAACACATTTGTGTCAGAGTACAAAATCAACATCTAATTCAGAAAGCATGGAATTACTGTTTTCCTGGTAAGTCACCTCATGTAATTATCTAATCCTTTTTTAACAATGCAGTAAGAGCACGCTCACCTGGGGCACACTCCTCTTGACTGTGGCCACCTACAGCCAGCCACTCTTCCGCTAATGAGTCACTTCCTGAGGCATCCTACTACTTTAAGTGGGAATATCTATGAAACCTGGATGAACCGCTCACGAACACACTGACATAAGATAGCTATAGGAAGGATCTTCTGGAGGCTGAATTCAGCTTGCTATTCAAAACACTGAGGTCCAGGACCTCTTTAATGGCATTCTCCAAAATACTGTCAGCTTCTTGTGCAATGACCAAGATGCAGGCAGACATATGGAAAATCCATGTATCAATAAAATGATGCTGTAGATAGCAAGGGTAGTGTAAATAGGTACACAACAACAGGGAAACCTTCAGAGCCAACGGGAAAACATACAGGAGAAGTTACACCTTAAACGAAACAGAACCAGCAGGTGGAAATTAGAATTTATGTTATAGAGGAGAAGTTAAACTATGAACTATGGAAAGGACAACAGATACAGAGGACCGCTTAGTCTGAATTGACACACTCCATGAGGAGGACGTAGTTGATGTTCAGCACGCATTTGAAAAGGACAGATGGGAAACAAACACCTATATGGAAGGAGGGGGGGGAAAAAAAAAAGGAACGACAAATCAAACCACTTGTATTGCCATTCAACTAGTATGTGCAGTATTGAGCAAAATTTAAGGGCTTCCAAATCAAGCCAAGAAATCTAAAAAAGAAATTAGGGAATCTAGAATTCTTGGTATTAATTGATAATCCAGATGTAGTGGACAACGATAATTAATAATACACGCTGTTACCAGGTACCAACATTACAGGAATATCAGGATGAGCTGTAGAGACAGAAGACCAGCCTTCTACACAAAGTGCAGTATCAAGTCACACAACATAAAAACAACAAATAAAGAGATCTCTATGTAGTCCATTTGGTGGAACCCTAAAAAAAGCTGTAACAAAGCAGTCTTCAAGCATGCATACTTCAAGTGAGCAACCTAGAAGCAGATAAAAAAATGTATACTTGTCCAGGTAAACACTGAGCCACAATCTAAAAAAGCAAAAAGGTGGTCCATATATGTGGCTCTTGGGAAAAGGAGGCTGTCATAGGAAAATGGTGAGCATGTAAAAAACTACAAGCTTGAAGAACAGGAAAACCTCTGACATGCCAAACTTAAAGAGCGACTTAGGCTAAAAAAGAATGTGAAGAGCACCTTGCAAAGGATGCCTGAGCAGAAAGTAAAAGATCTTTACATAAGTCACAACAGGAAGCCAGAAATGCAATCAGTGGTACCTAACAATGAACAGGATAGAAAGCCCTAGAAAAAAGGTTACGGAATCGTAACTGACTTGTGCCAGTCTCTACTGCTGAAGATATTGGGTAGATTCCCCTACTCAGTACATCATCTACAGCAGACAGGTCAAAAGAGCTAGATGAATCTGAGGTAAATATAAAAGAAGTATTAGATCAAGAAGGTAAGTCAGATGTTAACAGATCACTGCGACGGGACAGAGTAAGCTGAAAAATTTGAAGGAACACTAACATGAAACCTTAAGACACATTGATCTGGGTGTTCACCATGTTATTAAGAAGAGCCACTGTCATAGGATTGGTGACTCTCATCAAATAAAAAAAAGGGCTATAGAAGTAGTCTTGGAAACTGCAGATCAGTTACTCTGATTTTCCTTTCCTGTTGAGGTGGTAGAGTCTTACTGTACATATTATGTCTTAGATGTACTTACTGAGTACATTATAAAAGACCGTCAGTTCAGATAGCATAGCTTCTACAAAGGGAAATTCTGCCTAATTTGGGGCTTCAATGAGAGTGTCAGTAACAGGGAAATAAAGAGAATCTAATGGACATAATGTATTCAGAATTTCACAAAGTATTTGACTAGGTTCTAAGTCAAACGTTTATTAATAAACTAAGCTCTTACGTGTCACTGAAGGAAACTATTTCTTATGTTCTCACGAGGGGAGAAAAACAGCAACGTAGATATGAACATACATAACACCAAATATTATACATTCCAAACCTTCTCGTATATATAGACCATATGTTTTTGTTCCTTTTATTAAACGCTACAGCATGTGGTGGGAAAAAAACAGACATGGGAGAATGCTCCTAAATACTTCCCCCCCACCCCTTACAGTTACAAGTATAGGGAAAGGAAAGATATAAAGTGAAGCAAAATGGCTTAGTACTAGGGCTTATCTTTTCCCACTGAGAAGAAAAGACTTCTGGAATCAGTTACTGTGGCTCACCAATAAATACACAGCCTCTCAGGAACTGCTACAATGCTTCAGTAGTTGACACAGTTTCCTAATTCTCAGACTGAACAAAAGGTGGTGGTGGCCTTAACACACAGGTAAAATAGCTGTGCAACACTACAAGATATACCACGTACTAAAGTATTTCTAAAACTGCCTTCTCTCTGCCCATGTGTCCAAAGCACTACCATTGCATGCCTTAAATATATCTATACAGAAGAGTTCTCTTTGCAGGCAACAAGGGAAAAGGATGCAAAGAATCGCACCAGGGCGGATATTAAAGGCACATGTACTGCTAGCAAGGACATTATGCAAAATACAGGTAACTACCCAAACATTTCCAGAGTCAACACATGAAAGAACAGTTAAGTCTTAAGTTAAAACAAACATCCTCACTCCTGGGCTGTAAGAATTTTTCATATTGGATTAGATGACTTCAGAAAATATGATACAGTTATGGACTAAATAACTGAAATTCAGAAGTCATGTACCTGATGTTTATTTAAAACCAGGCCCTCACCCTTTTGATATATAGTAGTACTTGATATAAGGAACGTTCTACTGTCAACATTGGCACCACTTATTGCCACTCAACATTATGGGCATTTAAATCTTGTCACTGTCAAGGATTTCACAAGAAAAGTATTCTCCCGGGAACAGCCAAAAGCTCCACAGAAATGCTAACCTCAATGGCTCCTCAATTTCAATTTCTAGGTCCACTGTTTGAGCTGATACAGGGGAAAAGAAAGAGCTGTTAATTTTTGCCAATTAAAAAAAAATACATCAGTGGTAACCAGATTGTTGGATGTCTGTTTTTTTAAAATTTTTATAATTCTAAATAAAGTAACTACAGAGTAAGCTGAGACATGCATTTACACACACGCTTCCTCCTTTAATCATATATACATCTACTGATCTTGAAAAAGGCTTCAATAAAAGCATGTGACAAACTTCCAAAATAAAATACTGTATACTAACATCCTAGTAAGACACATCACTCCTGTTTAGAAAACAATATTAACTCTCTATATACTGATACCTTCTGTTTGTGAAAACATACTTCTTACCTTGAGCCTGGAGCTTTCTTAAAAGCTTTGCGTCGGTGTTGTCTAGAAATTCAGTGGTACCAACATTCGGAGGTCGGCCTTTCCGTCGTCTCATTCTTGACTCCTCTCTAGAGTGCTGTCTGTCTGGATTTGGTGGTCGTCCTCTACGCCCTTCCATAGCTCTGATACAGGGAATGACTTCCTCTTCCTTCAGAAGACACCACTGTACACCCTTTTAATTGACACATTTCACAGACAGGTATTATAAACACAGATTAAAAGAAGGAAAAATAAATCTAAGACACTTGAAAACATTAACAGCAATATATATATATGTATTTTGCTTTCAAGTAAGTTATATACATAAAATATGCGAGAGCTGTGATGTACTATTTGGGTAGTACAATGTTTTTATGATGCACAGGAGCTATATATTGAGAGCTTACCACTATAAACTTTTGTGAACTGTACTGCTATGCAAGATTTTGAAAACTCTTCAGAGACATGCACAGTATTACCTAGCAGGTATGCCACTGCTGTGTTATTTCTAGTCCTTTCTGACCAAATCGCTTATTGCTCAACCGTTTTTAAAAGGCAAAATAGATTCTTCCTTATCATGTAAACTCAAAAATAACTACCCTGCTTTCACATAATCCACTGCTCAACGTGAACGAAAAAAATGTGTCAAGCTATGAGTCACTGTGTTTCAACTGTTAGTGTTTACAGAAATTCTGACATACATAACAAGCAAATGCAGCAGTGTATTTTCAAATACTGCTTTCTGGGGTGTTGTAGATCTCAACAACAGAGTTGAAAAAACACAGACCCACTTTATCCTTGAAGTTTTATTTAGTGCAATTTAGTTCTCCCCTCATCCACTGCAAGAAATTAATTTCTGTGCCAACCTGAAGCAATCAAAAGTTCATAACTTTTAAGAATCCACCTATCTGAACTAAAAGTTATGTTAGCTATATTCTGTAACTAAACAAAGTATGCAGCAATACATTCAACACTTTCTTTCACTATTACTACTATTGTTTTCTGGAATCTCAAAAACAAATACTAAAATACTTTGTTAATATAAATACCCAAGTTAGAGTTCATTGCATCTGCTAAGCAGAGCAGGTGCGGTGTCTATCTGACCCTGTTTGACTGAACAGGAGTATTTCAAAATTGTAACATCTTTTACCATTTTCCCAAGTTTTTGAAAAATGCGGGGAAAAATGTAAATATCCTTCAGGACTACTCCATAATTTGCGTTAAAAAGGTTTATTAAAGATTTTGAAAACATCTGCTAAAGCAAGAATGAAAGTTGGTAAGTTATAAAACATTAATTAAATATCTGATCATAAAAAATACATTTGCATTACCAAAGTTTTCACATTTATATGTACATAAATACTGAAATAAAATTTACTGTACCATAAAACACATTCTTCCTTGCTTATTCTCACAATTTATGTTTTAATTCTTTCTGCTCATTTTTCATAATTACAAGTAAGATTCAAAAAAGAAATGGCATTTTGCTAATGAAACATTCAGATTCCAAGGAAGCTATTTTCTGGAAGTCTGAATCACTCCCAGTTAAGACCATCCCAAGAGTACATCTCACACTTGAATTACAAAGGGCTTTGTTATTAGCGATGCTCCTAAAAACAAGCTGTTCAGAATCATGACCATACCACTATGTGAAAAATGCGTCATCGGTAAGGACCTTTTAATCCAAAAGTTACCTCTACCAGTTAAACAGAAGTTAACTCATTTTCTATCTACCTACAATTTGTCACAGGCTCAGCGTGTTGAGCAATGTAAGCCAGATTTAATACTGTACTTATCACCTACACCAACCTCCAACCTAGGAAATCTTATCCCATAAACTGCAAGCGCGGGGGGTGGTGGGGGGTGGAGGGCACGTGTATAGGCTACGTAGAATTCAAAGAAAAGGAGGAGAAGCAGCCACAGTTCAAGAAGTACCCACGATTCTGCGGTGGAGACTGCTCTTGCTTTGTATTTTCTATGGTTTAGTGACACTAATGATAACAAATACATGGAAAAGAGAGAGGTCTACAAGATCATTCATGCCAGAGATGCTATGGATGTATATTACATTTTCCTAATGCCTCCTAAAAGAGAAACTAGAGGCCATCAAATGAAGCTAGTAGAAGGTTCAATAAGCAAAAGGAGCTGGTGTTTCAAGGAATCGGGAGAAGACTGTTTAATGTCTTGCCAAAGGACATCATGGATGCAACAAGTTTCAACAAGTTTAAGAGAGGACAAGACAAAAACAGTACAGAACAGATCCACTAAGGGTTAAGCAGGAGTTAATTGATCATCTATATCTTTTAAAATCTGACCCAAAAAGCATATCTATTAAAAGAAGATACAATCTGATATTCTGTGGATTTTCAATATTCCAAAGAAAAAAATATGGGGGTTGTGCCCCAACATAGGAGAATCAAGGCTTTCCATAAAATCTAAGCTTCACTACACAAATGTTTAGAGAAAAAACTGGAATAGCACAGTGGAATGTTGTGTTTTAGCGTTGAAACCAATCAAAATAAGAATGTAATTCAATTTCTCACCTTCAGGAATCTACCACCTATTGCAATACTGTATTATAATCAGGACATTTGCCAAAAAGGCACTAGATAACCATGCGTGCTAGCAGAATCAAGCTCAATGCCTGTTAAGCAAGCTAATGAACAAAACCATAGCCACTCTGCATCCTCACTAATTTCAGTTTAGATTTGTGAGAGGAAGTTAATAACAAAGCTTTCTAAATTGAATTGCAGAATAAAAAAAGCAAATAATGACTACTACATTACAAACACCTATGACAGCTGACTTTATAGTTGGCTGTTCTGTATGGTATTTCTATTGCATCTGTAATAAACACCTTAGACTTCTAAATACTTAAGTCTCTTAAGTAAATAACAGTAAGCTTGAGAATTGGCTTAAAAGAGGTAGACTCCATGCCTTATGAAGATGCACCGTGTTTGTTCTGAGGCAGCGCCACAATCAGACACTCTGACGAAGAGTAACGCACATAGGAGTTACTTCACACTAGAGAGATGGGGAAAGGCACTTTAAGCACTTTCTTCCTTTCCTGTTCCTGAAATCAGCTGCCTTTCCAGGCAAGCATTTAGACTCACTCGGAAAAAAAACCCACCAACATTATTTTCACAGCTTTATGCAAAATCTTACTGGGGAAAAAAAAGTGCATGCTATGTTTACCATGACTTAACTATTACTCCCAGAAAGTTACATCCAGATTAAAAAGCCTGTATTTTGCCCTTGATGATATTTCATCTTCAGCTAAAATGGATCTGAATGCAGCTCCAGAGTCATGTTTTCTCTAGCTACATCATGACCCTGCAAAGGAAAGAGCTGAGAGAGAGCTGGGACTGCTGAGCCTGGAGAAGAGAAGGCTCACGGGGATCTCACCAGTGTGTATAAATACCTGGAGGGCGGGTGCCAAGAGGATGGAGCCAGGCTCTTTTCAGAGGTGCCCAGTGACAGGTCAAGAGGCAGTGGGCACAAAGTGAAACACAGGAGGTTCCCTCCGGACATCAGGAAACACTTTGTCACTGTGACGGTGACCGAGAACTGGAACAAGTGGGCCAGGGAGGATGTGGAGTCTCCCACCTTAGAGATTTTCAACAGCTGTCTGGACGTGGTTCTGGGTAACTGGCTCTGGGTGACCCTTCTTGAGCAGGGGGGGGTTTAGATAAGGTGACCTCCAGAGGTCCCCTCCAACCTCAACCATTCTGTGATGGATACTCTTGGTGTTCTATATTAATCAAAGCCAGCAAGATGCAATCTTAGGGCACAGCTCAGTATCATTCCACAACACTCTCTTCCACCTACTAATTGATGCAGTATTCCCACCCATATTACTCAATTACCGTATTACTCAAACTCGTAAGAACCCATGCCCTCCATCACCCCAAATCACATTCACACTGATCTTCCTAAACCACAGCAGTTTAAAGCCTCCAGGTCTTGTCAGTGAACCTCCACATTTGCCAAACTTCAAACATTCCTCTAACCCCACTATTTCGTGTCCCACTTCTGCCAGATATGCTTCTCTGTTAAAGCAGTTAAGCACTGCTTTGAATAACCCATAATATCTGGTTGCTTGTGTACCAGAAGAAACACAGGCACTATCAGAAGCAGGTAATGCATTATTTTTGGCTTGCCGTAGGTAATTCTTCAGTATAACTCACTTAGCCCTTACATCATTTTCTTCACATCTTGTTGCATCTTTAAGCTTTGTGAAGCTTACCCAATCACTTTGGATGCATGCTGCATGTCTCAAAAGATGACAAAAATATATAACGAAGAAAAGGAAGAGTAACCACAAAGGCTATACAGAGTAATTGAAATTACAGCAAAAGCAGAAATAAAACTCCTGGAATTACCTCCAGACATCGGTGAAGATATGATTACCACATATTGTTTTGAAGGTGGACAATTTACAAAATTCAGTAAAAAGCGTGCAAATTCTCTTCATGAAATATCAGTATCACATACTGTTTTACTAAGTGCACGCTATCAGTCTGAGTGTAGCCCAACTGTTTACATTATAATCTTCTCATTCAAAATCTCACACATAAAATGTAAATACATTTTAGCACATTTGAAACAGCTGCCCTCCAGTCCTTTTTTTTTCTTTTAAATAAGAAAGCTTTTCCTTTGTCTAACCAAGTCTCAGTGGAACCTACCACAAACTATATGAGTGAAAACTACAGTGAGATGTACAGCAACTTAATATTCGTATTGCCAACCTCGCTTACAGAAACCTGCCTTCATTCTCAAGTTCTATAGTAACAAAGGGCAAAATCTGCAAATCAGCTCATGAATTACAGGGAGAAAGAAGAGACAACTAGAGAAGGGGACAAGACTAATGAAGTAATATGGGCATTATTGTTACCTGGTAAAATGACAGCAGATACCCAGACATGACATTATAGTCACAGTATAAGGAATTATTTCAATCAGGTACATAATGAAGTTCACAACTACTCAACTTGCAGTTGTTGTTTTATGAAGGCCAAACATGAACAGGGTTTAGCAGTGTTTTACCCTGTAAGCCATGAATCGGAAGCACCACCTGGAAGCAGCTGCTTACTATGCAATCAGTCTGTATTGCTTTCAAATTTATACCATGTAAACATTAGTATTTCTACAGGGTGTCACAAGGACACAAGGCTTAGCTAGAGCCTGAATTCAAGATTGCTGAGATCATGGTGTTTGTCCACATTCCTGTAGTTAACACATTCAGGATACTTATCTTTTAAAGAAGCAAATACGTTCACTGACATAAGTCCAAAAACTTTCGTGCACATCCTGAAGACACGGCAAGATGACTAAAATACAGTAACACAGTATGGCACAAACACAGTATTCATTTCCTTAAAATTTTAATTTTACTTCTCCTTGTGTGGTTTATCTACACAAGATCTAACAGTTCTACCCCTGTAAAGCGTAACTGGTAAAACTCAGCACTCCTTCCTGTAAAAACCTCATGCTTCAGGAAGCTCAGATGGTATTCTCAATACAGGTAGCACTTGTATTTAAACACATATTTTATTAATATTATGCACATGAATACATAAAAAGAGTGTGATTTAATGCATACATATAAATTACTACCAATATCAAGTTTATACAGTAAAGGAAAAAATAGAGTTTTAGTCAGAAATATCTGAACACCGACCAAGATAAAATATGTAGCTCAGAGTTCTTTCGTACTAGACAAACCCAGGCTCAGAGCTGATCATAAGGCATGCCAAACTCCTGCAACCTCCTAATAAAATCACTGAGGAGTGGTTTTCAACACTGCCAAGGATCAAGCTCTCAGCATCTTAATATACCTACTATTATGAAACAAGCACAATCTTTAGAAAGAATTAGCTAAGAACAGGCAATGCTTCAGACTGTAGCAAAATTATTTCACCTAAATTTAAGTTAATGTTCCTTGGATCAAAGACTTTTACTTTTTAAAAAGTGGATACCTGCGGTCCATCTCTGGCTTCATAGAAGTCACCCACTCCTATTTTTGCACTGAAGCTGAAATTGTCCCTTGAGATATCCATTATTCCATTTCTGCTGAGATACTGAAAAAATCACATATTTTTCCACTTCAGCTTGTAAATAATTACAACCCAGCTTTGATGTACAGCTAACTTTGTGAGTGTAATGTTTTGCATATTCTATCAAAGCAATACGCATTTATAGGAGATCAAATCAGTAACAGACTGAGATACATTACGCTTCACATCACAGGATATTTTGACATAAGTATCTTTACTGGAGGGAAAAAAATGGCATTTTTTAATTGCAAGCATGCTTAGTAGCATTAGAACACAGAAGTTAATAAAAGGAATGTACCTTTACTACTTCAGGATACTGTCTCAGCTTCTTTCCACACGGTGCAAAATATGCTACTTCTCCTTGCAGACGACCCCCAAAGTTTCTTATTCGGGTTTCTCTTTGCCAGCTACAGTAATGTGAAATAGTTGCATACAACAACACACTTTTTTAAAAACAAGTAATTTGTATCAACTTAAGATTTTTACGAAAAAGGCACATATCTAAAATGTGACAATAATATCATAAATCAAATAGGCAAAACCAGAAATTGTTATTATGTAGTGTCCAAACTCTGACTACGTGTGGATTTATTTGTATCAAGCTACTTACGTATTACCAAATTCTAAATTATGTACACCTATATTTCAGAGAGTGATCTGAAGTCTATACTGGCTCAGATCTAATTAATCAGGATTAATTTCCAGTGGTAAAACTGCTAAGCGACGGGTCTTGTTTGCAAAATAGCAAATTTGATGCACAAAAATTAACATGTGAAATATGTTGACACTTCTAAAGAGATTCACATTCACTGTGAGTTGGAGATCTAAGTTGCTGAAGCCCTTTCCTTATTATTCAGCCTCAAAAAACTTTTAAACAGTCATTTCTTTACCAACTGACTTTTGAAGGTATTATCTCCCTTTAAGGAATATCAAGTATATACATAACCTACCCGTATTCGAGAGGAACACGCAGCTCCCGTTCATCTGTTACTCTTCGTCTTTTTGAAATACCTAAAACAGAATTTCTGATTAGCACCTAAGAGAATTTACAAAATGCAAACATGTTCCTAAAATATACTTTTATCCTTATATCCCAAAACCAAAAGATAAAGCATTTTTACATTCTAGCCATTACGTACCTCAAGTACAAAAAAAATTAATGTAACTATTCCCCTTTTGAAATACATTTTCCTCCAAGTTTCCTTTAACCTCTTCTTCTGAGATTGTAAACAGAAGAAAACCTAATTATGTCATATTGAACTGCTTGCCTTGTTTGGCGCTCTCAGATATTGCTAAAATAATTCTTTGTACACCTGCTTTTCTATACTAGACTGTATTTAAATTTTTTCTGTACAGAAGATGAAAATTAGAACACTCTTTACTTTAAAAATCTATACTTCTAACAGGCTCAGCCTTCAACGAAAACTGTGTATAGATTGCTGCAAACAGCCAAATACAGAAAATTTTTCGGATTATTCCAGTTTTTGAAAGTTCAAACAGATGTTGTGTTGTGCCCGTCAATAGACTAAACCAATAAGATGACAGAGACAATTGCCAAACATGGGGTTCTGCGGAGTGCCATGGGCTCGTACTTTTCTCAGGCCTCTTTGAGAGAGCTGTTGGACATGAACTATGTACACAGACAAACTTTTGGAAGATGCATTTCTCAAAAACATTGTTTGGACCTTGTGTGAAGAACGTGACACATCTCTTCCCTGTGGCAAGGACACGAGGGAGTATCAGTATCAGACTGAACCCTTTGAAACTTGCTCCAACCTCTCACAGCCAAAAGGAGCATCACATGATGCAACAGCACAGGTTTCCCACTGAGATGCCTGCACGACCTGGAAGCAACTGCTAAGAAAAAGTCCACTACAGAAACTATAGCTCAGCTACAGATGGCGCCGGGGAACTGCCCACGCTTGGATGTCAAACTTCTCGGACACGTGTCCGCAATCTGAAACTAGCGTGACCGACTATCGCGTTACTTCTGATAGTCACAGTGGAGGAGAGGAGCCTGCTTGTCCAAATACAAGTGAATTGAAAAAATGAGTTGTCCAGTGAAAAACAGATACAGAGAAGAGACACAAGAAGTCTTCAGTGACTGACCAGCTTTAGGTAAAATGGACACAAAAATATTTTAATTGTATTATGGTGATGATTATTATTAGGAAAAACTACTACACCTAAAACAAAGACACAAAACTAATTTATTAGTTAATACACCTCCATAAACAGACAAAGATCCACTATCAGCTTTTTCAAGGAATCATAAATCAACAAGGATTCCTGAGCAAAAAAATTCACTTTGTATTTTAACAATTTGGATTACTCTTAATGCATGGGAAATCTTTTACAAACTGTGCAATTAACGGGCCTGCTTCTGGGAAAAATATGAAGTAGATCACATTACACTGCTTCAAAGTTAATGCCCTTGATGACGTGGAATCAAATTCCTATTCCACTGAATCCAAATATAAAAGCCAATTTATGAGAGGGTGTCCCCATTTAAAAATCTACTTACTTGCATGTTAATTAAATATAAAGTTTCTAATTCAAAGTAGTAAATACACAACTTCGTTCAATTGTTACCATGCAAAATGAGAAGTGTGACTTTCAAAAATGCATTCTTTCCTGTACCAGTAGTAATTACTAAATTAGTCACGAAAGGAAGTATTAAAAATGCTATGTAACATCAGGCATATGCTAAATGTACTTTTCATGAACCTCTTAAAAATAATTCCTTGCACATAATCCACAAATTCTACTGTGAATTTTGAACAAATAAAGTTGTATTTTAACTAAATACAGTTATTAAATTTGTTGAGGAGGGGGCAGAAATAGAAGGTTCAGAATGCAAACTGTTAACGCATAGAAATTAGAAATAAATAATATATAGTTGAGGATAAAATGGTAACTAACAAAGAGTAAATAATTAAGAATTGTAATGTAATAAATATCAACTCTGGCTATTTCATCCTATCTTCTCTCAAATAATTGTATGAGTTAAAATGTCCTGGACTAAGTGTCACGTTCAGGTCTTGAGAACTCGCAATTCTGTGACTGATTTTAACGCCTGCTGCAGACAGCCGTGAAAAGATCACAGAATCACAGAATGTCCCACTTTGGAAGGAATCTCAAAAGATCATCTGGTCCAACTTTTTGTGGGAAAGGGAGCCTAGGTAAGATTATGTAGCACCCTGTCCAACCACATCTTGAAAACTTCCAGTGACAGGGACTCTACCGCATCCCTGGGGAAGTTGTTCCACTGAATCACAGCTCTTACTGTCAAAAAAAATTTCTTTCGTATGTCAGGATATCACTTGATACTAGTGTCTAAACTACTTTTGTAACTAAGTTTTACAACACATGCCACTTAGATGTTACATTGTACTATAACAAAAGACATTGAGGTACCACAGTGTGTACTTGGTGCAAGAGTAGATGGTGCTGTCCCAAGAAAAACCGCAGACTGGGACTCGGGACATAAGGCAGCTGGTGCAGAGCTTGGGGTCTTTGCTACTTGGAGATTAAGAAGGGTGGAATGAGCTGCAAGACCAATGGAAGAGCTCTTCGCAGAGGATGAAGTTTTATTCAGTTTCAGTGGAGTTTTTTCTCCCTCAGTGTCTGTATCCGATTCATCTTGATCTTTATCATCCTCATCATCTTCATCCTCAGACCCTTCTGTATCTGACTCAGAATTACTGTCAGACTCTGTTCAAAAAAAAGTGTGGCAAAAGGCACATTATGACTTGATAACTAATGGCAAATACATTTAAGTTCTAACACTTGCAAAATTTTCTGTCTTACTCATTTGTCTTATTAAATTATTGACTTCAATTTATGTTTTATAACATCACTCGAGTATAAATTAGTTAAAATTAACTACCTAAACTTTAAAATTACTACAAATGTAACAGCATAAAGGTAATTCTGCATGATGAAGCACTGTTGTTTCAGACGGATGACTTTGTGTTTCCACGAGGAGATGAGACACAGAAGCTGCAGTATTTTTAGCGACTGTTTAACCTAGAAGGAGCTACAGGCGAGACATCCCCTGTGAGGCAGGCAGCGGCTGAACACTACCACTGGAAGGGCACTTCACAGGTTGTGAAATCTATCATGAAGAGGAAGCAAACGATGGAGCTGGGTACAGGCTGAAAGGTGTCAGCACTGAAGTGTGGCGATCTGGGCAAAGGGAGAGTCAGAGACAGAGTGACGGGTGGACAGGATAAGGAGCTGAAGATAGGCTACAGCTGTGAGGAAAAAAAAGAGGGTTAGTACAGGATGTGTGGATGAGAGCGGGAAAGAGAACGATGAAGATGGAGCTGGACCCAAGGGGTATCAGCACACAGGGGAGAACAGAATGACCAGGAATACAATGAACTCTGTGAAACAGGCCTTGCCTTTCTGAATTGCTTATGGGCCTTTAAAATAGTAGTCTGAATGCTATCTGTGAACACTGCAGCCCTTAGTACTGTCCCGGTAATTTTCTCTAATCTTGCTCATTGGCTACCGTGCTCCTGAACAAAGGCTAGAAACATCCTTTTTTTGCCACTCTTGACAATTTAAGGGCCTTTGTTTAGTCCCTCTCTGGCTGAGGAAGCCTGTTCTGCAGATGGCCTCTGCCAGACAGAATAATTAACCAAGCCTATTCCCTCCGTCCCCCTCCTTGCCACATAAGCAGTACGTGAGCTGCAGGCTGGGTGATTGATCTGGAAGGTAGGTCTCTGACAGCCTCTCCAGAAGGCTGTGAAGCCATCTTACCGGCACAGCTGAAAGTATACTTGCCGTATGACCACGTATCAGAATACCCACAACGTGATTTTGGATATGACACAATGGGCAACTGGGAGACATGTGCTACTTCCCAGGATATCTGTACGCTGTGTGCCACGCTGCCCAAAAATCTCCTATCCCTACTTTAAAATACGGTGGGAAATGCATGTTTTCAATACTCAAAAAAAAAAAAAAAGTTTTTGCTTTTCCTAATAAAAGATTAAACCACCTGATTGGCTATCATCAGAATCATCATCTTCATCATCCTCATCTTCATCTTCATCATCGTCGTCATCATCATTTGAGTCGTCAGAGTCCTTACTGCTGGGGGCATCTGAGTCTACCCCTCTGAACTGCTCCACCACCAGTTTTGCAGAATGAAGGCGGTGTTGTGTTTTTACTGCATTTACTGCATTATTGCTGACTGTTTTATCCTTTCCTGAACCAGGTAACGCAGGAGAGGTAGAGGGCATAACAGGCGTCCGGTTACCGGCTGGTTTTTTCCCACATGCACTCAAGTTTACTGGCAAAGAAAAGGGGGCACTACTAGAAATGGCTACGCTTTCATTGATCTTGGTCTGGGATTTCAGTTTCGTAGTAAGTGCAAGAGGAGCCTCCTGGATGACGCTCTGAATAACTCCATTGGGTTGGTGATTACCTAAAAGTGCATTTGTCAGGAATGGATTAGAATGGTTGTTTTCCAAGGATGTGAGTTTTCGATGAGCTGGTGAACTAGATGCTGATTTGGGGCTTGACAAAGCTGCAATAACCTTCTTCAGGTTCTTAGATGATTCCTGTTTCTTTAGCTGTGTCGCTGGGAATGTCTGTTTATATTGTTCCTAAAGAAACAAGAAGACAGAGGAATAAAATATGGGTTGGGGTTTTTTGTTGGTTTTTTTAGTATTCAGGCAGGTGAACTCTATGAAATCTTAAACATTTGCTAAGCTTTTTTAATAGGTCAAAAGTAGGTGCTAGCTACAACAGAAGACAGGAGTAACAAGTTAGTCTCATGATTTTCACTGTAAATCAAGTAGGAAAACACAAACTGAACTCAAGATGAAGCTGATCTAAATTATGTAGGGAAGCTTTTCCACTTGCTATATCACTCTAGACAGTGTTTTTCATAAAGATATTAAGCATCTTGAGAAAAGGTTTTTTTAAAAGATATTACTCTTCTTTACTGGCATAGGAAAAACCCTGCTTTTTTATATGCTGAAATGAATAGATCTCATTAGTGAATATAAAACTAGATTTAGTAATTTGTTCATTTTAAAGCACAAGGTAAACACAACACATTAATGGCTACAATACTAGCAGAAAACCAAGAGAAAGCTCTTGGCACAGAAAAATTGTATCAAAAAACAACATGGGGGAAAAAAGGTATTACTCAGAATCACGTGACATACTGGGTTTTCTAACTCGAAAAAGTTGTACTTGAAAGTTCATCAGGTAGAACTTAACCAGTAGTTGCTCAGAAACGCATGTAAAGCTTACACTGTCTTTAGTTTCAAGACTCTTCCAAGGAAAAAGAAAATACATCACCTTTGATGGAAAAAAATAATAGAATGGATAAAGATGGTACATTTTAAATAATTTTTAAAATATTAAGTAAAATAATTTTAAGTTACTAACATTTAAAACGGAATATGAAATTATGAAAACCTTTAAAATAAATATTCACACAGCGTATGTTTCCAGTAAAAGTTTTAAAGAAATCAAATGACTAAATGGGTGATGTATCATCAGCTAAAGACTCATAACCTAAATTTGACAGCAGAAGCCTCTTCCAATAGCAAAGACGTATGTTTTCATAATTGTAATTTATTTAACCATTTCAGGTAAATGACTAGCTTATTTGAATTTTCCAAAGTAACTCGGTGTTTAAAGGAAAAACAGTGTTTCTCTTCTGTCTAGGAATAAAAACTATGTGATAAAAATATTTTTCAGTCCTCACTGAGGACTGAGTTAGCTGTGAATCAGAGTTCAATTTACTCTTCACCAATCCTACTTAGTTTAAAACAAAGTTTAACAATGAAACTTGCCTTGGCAAACATACTTTTATATCTATGTCAAGTCTCAACATTTCTAAAATGCATAGACTTTTATTCTTTTCTAATCTCCTCTCAAATCTAACTGAACAGAAATTACACAAATTCATTGCTGGTCACCATAATCACTATTAACAAGATACATAAACCAAGAGTTTACAAAGAATTTTTGTAAGCTACAGAACTGTTAAGACACACGCATGTAAACATATTGTGGAGTCCTGACCAGTAAAAAGGAAGATCAAATTTATTGCGATGGCCATACTGAGTTTTAACAGCTATCAGTGCTGTTGTCACTAATGAGCAAACAAACCCCAAGATTAATCGAACCTTTTTGTAAAAAAAGGCCTTCAGCTACTTTGTTTAAAATCATCATTAAATGTTAATTTTAGTTACTCTGACTTAAAACTACCCAGCTTGAAACAAAGCTAAGCTATACTTACATACTAGATATAGGAACCATTAAATCAGCGTTCTGACAGAAACTAGGAGAAGCAGAGGAAGAATATCCAGGCCACAGAATTTACCCACAAATACTTTTCTTATTTTGATATTCATTTTAGCTACTCATTTTCCTTGAGAGATGCATGACAAAATCCTTTGCTTGCTTTATACCCATTACTTTCACCAGTTCACTGATTGCTTTCAGCAGAGCTGTAAAGTTCCACTATGTGATGAGCAAGAAACTCAAGTTTGGCATTATGGGACAGTACGACTACATCATGTATACATTGGGGTACACATGCATGCATGTGCACCACCAAGTAAATGACCCTTCTCCGACACAAAATTATGGAATAGTTCAGGGCACTTGTACAGCATAGTGAATCATCTCTGAAATTAACAATATTTGATGCCCTTTAAAAAAAATCAAAACCAAAAACAAACACAAAAAACCCCCACCACCAAACACACATCCCCCCCAAACAAAAAGCATAGTTCAGAACATACACTACTCACACAATTTAATCAAATTTACACCACTGAGAAATCCATATCAACTCTAAAAATGTCAAAAAATCATGATATGAAAATAAATATACATACAATTTTAAAACACGATATTTAAAACAGTTTGATAGCACATGCATGTTGCATCTTGCTAAACACGCAACGCAGGTTACAAAAACCCAGTGATTTTTCACTCACCCGTTTTGATCTTACATCGCTGGTCAAAGAGAGAGATTCTTCAGAGGTATTTTTATTCCCTGCTTTGAGTAGATCAGGGGAAGGAACTATGAGTTTTAAATAGGTTTCCTTTTTGGCTTGATGTACCAAAGACAAAGGTTTCACATTGGGAACCAATCCCGTGGACTGTATTACACTGGTGTGTTTGTTCACAGATTCCTCCTTTGCCTGAGAGCTTTGGAAAATAAATGGAAGCTGCTGTGACAAAACCTGAGGCTGCTTCTGCTGGGACTGGAATGATGAGTGAGTCTGGGAATCAGACACAAGAGGTATCTGCTGGTGTGTTCTTGTTTCTTGGGACTTTTCATGTGGTTTTTGTCCATCAGTTTTCGTATCTGTTATGCCAGTATGCATTAGCACCTGCAAAACACCAGTTAAAGATCCTTAATTAAAAAAAAAAAAAAAAAAAGTCCATCATCAGTCCCCATGAAACAATCATACTATTCTTGGCAGAGGATGAAAAATAATGACTTTAAATTTTAATAGTTTCAGCATGTGAAGCCAATGCTTAATAGAAAAGGAGTATTACATGATGGTTGTTTTTTAAATGTGTTTTTGACTGTAAACATAACAGGATACTCGGGATTCCAATCTTGTTCTTCTATTGGCTACCAGGAAAAGAAACCGCGCTCTTAGGGAAAAAGCAACTGCTAAAGCAATATCTGTAGAAAGATATATTTCCAACACACTATCAGCACATAGCACTTAATTTCTTTACATGTCCCACTTTGTAACAAAAATAATAGTCTACCAACTGTTAAACTCCATGCCCATAAAGAACAACACACACACACACACACAGAGGAAGCAAAAAACCCAGAAAACCCTGAAGCAAAACCAAAAAAGTATTCTTAGCATTCATTAATGTGTAGTTAAATAATTGCTCACTGGTACAAACGTGAACAGGTCAATTTTTCCACAAATACCTTTCAGTGACAGGACTGTAAGCAGCAGAGTGAGGTGTCATACCTTGTTCTTGGTTTTGAGATGTGCTTCATTTTCAGAATCAGATTCGTCATCTTCACTCTCTTCAGCACTCTGCTCTTCCTCCTCCTCTTCATCCTCCTCTAGATCATCGGAGTCACTAGTACTTATGCCTTCACTTGAGGTGTCTGAAGAGGAGCCCGAATCACTGTCACTGTTACTAGAGCTTTCCACTGCTTTTTTTCTGGGCTTCTGCCAGAAAGATGAATGCTCTATTAATGGTTCAGCTTTAATCTGTTATTATCATTTTATTATTATGCATAATCTTTAAAACAAAAAACAGTAAGACTTTGGAGTAAAGTTATCTGCAATCCTGAAACACAATTGACTGTCTTTGCAGGAGACTGAAGAGAAAGAAGTGCTTCACAAGGTGATGAAAATGGAAAACTGGTCACCAGGTTCTGCTAAAGTATTTTTCTGACCACACGCACCGGCAGAACAGTTGACATCACTACATTTCTAAGTAATGTATCAAATTTAGGCCTAGAAAAATTGGCCTGGAATTCAGATCTAGCAAACCTCCACAGAGCATACTGCTTCCAAAAAATTTAAAACCAAAAGCTTTACTGCAACCTAACATAGAAAGAACAATACATATTAGATTCATCAATAGGTTTCAATGACACATTCATTGAAACTGTATTACTTATAATTGCACAGTATGTGCGTACAGCAATGTAGGGTATTGAGGACTGAAAAGAATATGCTTATCAAATTGCTTCTGGGATTTGCTTCTGAAACATGGACCAAAATCTGCTGAAATACTCTGACAACTATATTATATTTCAATTCTTCAAAGAACAGATTTGCAGACCAGAAAGGAAAAGTAAAGAAGCAACACACAAGAACATAGAAAAAGAAGGTGTAAAAAGCCACAGGAACTCCAAAACGCTGACATTGCAAGAACAGATTTTAAAGTGCAATGGATGAGGCAAGTTAGCTTTTTGGGGAGCTAACTAAAACAAACGTGTATTTTACAAAGATATCTGAAGGAGGCACCTGTGGCCTTGTGGCTGAGAGAGACATGGAAGTATGCACTACTGTATTAAAGCCTATTTAATCATTAAAGAGAGTTCACAGAATGATGTCGGAAGGTGGAGCAATACGAGAAACAAGATTACGGATGTCAGGCAGCGGAGCAAAGTCTTATGTAGCATCTGAACAGGGCACATGGAGTCACTGAGGGAACTGTAAGGTTAAAATTAGTCTAAAGGAAGAGAGGTGGACAGCAGAAGTAGGTGACTGCAGGGCAAAACAGTTGCAGCAATTCTAGATAACAATGCAGACAGAAGCATCAGAGAAACAGTGCTTTAAAACTATGTGCTTTCTTAACAAAACTTTCCCCAGAAGTTTACTTTTCAAATCTATTTTTTAAAGGTAGGTGTATTATAAAACAAGAGGCAAAAATGAAAAAGCAATTTTATGTCAAAGATCCTTGTCTCATGAAGAAGAAATTCACCTGAATTAGAGGGAGAACGTAACAAACTTATAAGTGGGTGTACTGGTTTTGCATGGGATGGAGGTAACTTTGTACCGGGATGCTTTGGGTAACACAGGGATGCGTTAGCCACCGCTGAGCGCTGCTCGCGCGGCCTCAAGGCCATCTCTGCCCTTCACCCTGCCCCGCCAGCGAGCAGGCTGGGGTGCATGAGAAGCTGGGAGAGGACCCAGCCGGCACGGGACAGCTGCCCCGACTGCCCAAAGGGTCATCCCATACCGTACGGCATCGCGCTCCACAACAGAAGCCGGGGAACGAGAAGGAAGGGAGGGATGTTCAGAGTGAAGACACTTGTCTCCTCAAGCCACCGTTACGTGCGAAGAATCCCTGATTTCCTGAAAATAGCTGAACAACGTGTCTGCTGATGGGAAGGGGTGAATGAACTCCTCATTTTGCTTTGCCTGCATGTATAACTTTCACTTTCATATTAAACTGCCTTTATGTCAAGCCACGAGCTTTCACCCTTTTACCCTTCAATTCTCTCTGCATCCCACTGCAGGGGAGTGCATGAGCTGAGCTGCCCACTGGGGTTTATCACAACAATGGGATCCAATTTACTTTGTGAAATAGCTACAGAATGTGGAAGCTGTGGATGGATCAAGTCTCATCTATTCATCAGTTTTCCAGTACCTTTATCTTTTTTTAAACTAAGTTCTCATTCTCAATTTCTGTGAAGAATACAGCAATACTTCTATCTCCATACCTTCTGCATACTGTCACATGCACTGCTTCACTGCTGGGAAATTTTAAGTGTATTTACTTGGATTTATTGTTTCACTGCTCAATTCAGAAAGGTGTCAACTGATACTTCACGTGAAGGACAATGATCTGAATGTATGCAGACACTTAAAAAACAGATCTAAATAACTGTACCAACCTATGGTAGGTCCTATATGTTTCATTGCTGGTGTCCTTTACATCCTATTTAAATATCTTTCTGAAGGTTAAGATCATAAAATTAAGGAAAAGACCATGATCTGAAGCAGTAAAAGTAACAATGCCTCCTGGAATCACATCTCTAGGGGTCTATTCTATTTTTTCCCCTTCATGGTTCTCTCTCTCTATATGTGGAAAGGGAAACACCCAAACCACTGCACTAATACTAAAATCATAAATATCCAGTTTATTCACAGTGCTCATAAAATACGTATTCGTGACATCAGCTTCTTAAGAGATGCAGGTAACAGTCTGGAAAAAGAAGAGTACATCAATGGGCTTACTTAGCTGATCGTGTTTACTTCCACTCAACACTTTAAAACTTCCGCTGTCCATCACCTCTACAAAACGCGTTAGCTGCTGTCTCTTACAAACCTATCTTGTCATACTGCAGACAAGAACATAACAAAATTGCCATACCAAGAAAGGAGTCAGGAACATTCTTGTCAAAAGGAGGCGGCAAGTGCCAAGCAGAACTACCCCAAGTAAGACAAGGGACAGCTAATTTTGACACAGAATTTTGTATAAATTGTAAGCAATCAAGTGCTTCAAAACGAATCAGGCACTTAGCTACACTGTGGAATACAATCGCTTCCCAGGAAGTTTCTACTTCATAACCAAATAGAATCTGTTTTGACACAGATAAAACCAATAGAAAGAAGTTGGATTAGTAAGATTCCACAAGCAGGGATGGCAAATTAGTAGCTTAGAGAAAACGTAATGGCAGGGAAAATTTAAACTCGTGCATTTAGCAGACAGAAAAGGATTAATCTTGATGGAGAAGTTTCTATGAAATCCAGCATAAAAGGTAAGGCAGCTGGTGCGGGGAGAAAGCCAGTAAACTGCATAGAGAAGAAATAATTCAGAAAAAAACGTATCATGTTAAACCTGAAGGAGAAAAATGTAACTGTAAAGAAAAATCTCTCTGTACAGACATTCAGAACAACAAAAAATACTTGAAATAAATTCTAAAAGCTTGCTGACACAAAAAAAAAATAGTCAGGAAGGAGCAGGAAAAGTACAGACCAAAAAGTAAGTACTGTTTTACTTGCTTTGAAATATACTAGGAAGAAAAAGAGAGCGCATTAGATTTATGAAGATATATGTAAGACGAGGCAGATATTTATAGAATATAAAAAAAAAATATTATGTAGAAAAAGGTAACAAAAGGCTCTTCAAGAAAAACACTTAATAAAAAATTACGATTAGGTTATATATTTAAAGACCAAATTTCACTTCGACTAGTTCCTCTATTGGCAACAATATTGTCGTAAAAGTTGAAGCAAGAGTGGGTTCAATTAAAATAAATTTCATATTTGATTTTGGTTCAGTGACTTTAGCAAATCTGCTGGATGGTTACGCTAATTGAAAACGTCCATCGTTCAGAAAGCAGCAACTGAGACTATGAGTACCAGGAAAAGTAGCACGACCTCAATGATCCATTGGGATAGTCCCATAAAAAAGTGACTAAAGAGGTAAGTTCAAAAAGATTTTAGTCATGATTTCAAAGTACTGAAGTTTATAAAGGAAATACAACATGGTGATTGCCAAGAAGAGATATTAAAGGTAAAGGATGTGACTACAGTTCATAACCCAGCATCCCGATGCTAGTTCTGGAATTCCAGACAAGCAAAAGCCCCCAGTGCAAGATCTTGCGGTGGATTCCTCTCTCATCAGCTGCCCATAATGGTAGGGGACTTTCTCTAAGCCAAATGAGACTCAAGTTCACCAGTTACACCTTCTTTCCCTGAAGACTATTGCTTTACCAACATAAAAATCCTGCTGACCTTCCTCATCCTAGAAATCCACTGATGCAATCAATCGAGGGGCAGTCAGTTCTAGACTTCTTTTGTGAGGCTGAGGCAGCACATGCAGATGAATGATTACTTATAAAGTGTATCTGCTTATTCAGTTTTATCGTGGCCACAAACAGGGCAGGCTTTAAGGAAGACAATTAAAGCATGCTACGGTTATCAACACAGTGACCAACACAGCTAAGTAAAGAGGGAACACAATTACCAAATTTTTCCATGTAAGAAATATGTCATGGATAGTACATCAGATCATCACAATGACTTCTATCTTCAATACAACATCATTATGCTCAACAAACGTAACATGATATGCCACAAATATACAGTGATGAGGATCTGGCACAATTTTTAAACTCTTGTTTCAGACAGATTCCGGTTTATTGTTGTCTGATACGTACAGCCGTCTCAATGATCAAATACATGCCCTAGACAAAAGGAAGCCTATCAGAACTTATACAGCTTTGCAAACTACGGCTTTGAACATTAGATGCTTCTATCAACTCAGAATTTGCTTTTCGCACACTGCAGGCAAAAAAATGTATATAATACAAGTTACTATCAGGCTGCACTTCAGGTTTCCCTAAGATGGTAGGACAACAGAACTAGAATTCAATCAGGAAGAAACACTGAACAAGAAGTAACTCTTCAGGTTTTCACCAACTGTAAAAACAGCTTGGTATCAGGTTTGCCTTTTCTTTAAAAGAAGTTTAAAAATTTTAAATACCAACCCCAAGAGAAATAAACAACTAAGGATATTACTGAAGAAATCAGCAGATGAATACTAAAAAATAAAATCTTAAAAGAAAGGAACATTTAGAGAAGTGTAACTAGAATGTTTTACAATACACCATGCTCTTTAGAAAAAGGGGCAAGTGTTGTTACATTTGGAAATTTAAAACCATAACATGACTTTTACAAAGCCCAGCACAAAACACTCCATCTGCCTCCTGCCCCCTGCTTATTCCTCTGCCTTCAGTTTCCAGTTGCGGCTTTGTTCTAGCACACTGAAATAGAAATACCTTTTTTTTTTTTTTTTTTTTTTTTTTTTAAATCAAATCTCTTAATCTTCTTCTCGTGTTGGAGTTCTTATTTAGAGCATTTCGTACATTTTGATTGGAAACCTTGTTCAAATCATTATGTTGGCAGATACCAATTACCTCAAAAAGGTTCAGTGGAAAAGAACTTAAGAATAAGGATTAGAGGAACATGTAGAATGTCAGCATATCAAGTAAAACCAGGAACAAATTCCACTTCAGTATTAGAAAAATTACTACAAAAACTTAGGAAGCAAAACTGTTGACAACCTGAAATGTATCTGCATTAGAGAAACAATTTAAATGGTAAGATACAAGAATAAATAAATCTAAGAAAGGAGGCACACGCATTGCTTGATTAGATTGTTTTACAGCAACTCAGTATTTAGCAAATTGAAACTGGAGTTTGAAATCAGTACCCACATCAAAAGAAAATGTATCAAGGATACAGACCTTACACTTAAAGACAAATGGTAATATAAAGGAGAAGATAACAATGCCGACAAACATCGGCAGGGAGGGGGAGGCAATTTTCAGTGAGATTTTCAGTGAAATTCATATTAACTAATAACTAGCTTAACCAGCTCAGTTTTCTCAATAAGGAAAAGAGACAAAAAGCAAACAGAAAAAGAGTCTGTTCATTTACTTATGATACAAACTTTTGGGAAGGTATTTAGAGATAATAAAAGACAGTAATCTATTTGGTACTCTGCATAACTACAGTAATTAATTATCAGAAATGCAGAGACACTGTCTGGAAAAAGCTCTACTTCTGCACCACAGAAACAAAGCTCACATTTTCCACATAGATATACAGGATAAAAGCAGAATTTCAGAAAGAAAGGAGTCGTTTCCAGTATTTAAGCCTGAAAAAAAGTAAAATATTTCCCAAATACCTGTAACTACCTTAATACCTTCAAAAACTGTTGATCGTTGAACACACGACAAATTTTTTGAGGGAAAATGTTCTTTAACAGGTAGTAATTTCCCTATTATCAAGATATTAAACACTGTATCAGTACACAAACATAATTAACCATTTTAGTGCGAATAGCTATTTTTATGCAGATAAATGCAAACACCAATGGTCCTTTGAAACTGCCAACTTCTCGCCTAAGAACACTCAGATTCAGGAGCCAAATGTAATGCAATAACAGAAAGAGAAAGAAAACAACAGGCCCAATTCATCCACAAAACAAAAATATAAATAAAAGTATTCCAGCCTAGATAGCTGTCAGTAGGGAACGACTGACTCCCTTAGCTTCTGTTCTGGCAGTTATCAATTTCCCAGTATCCAATTTCCTGTGTTTTGACTCCGCAGTTCTGATTCCAAGAGTAGCAGTTCTTAAGGAGTGCTTGGGTCAGTATATAAGGAGGTTTACTAACTCACTAAGACTACTCATGTCTTTCATATTAGATGGCATCTTAAGTTTTTTGCTGAATCG